GTCCACAGCTGATAAAGCAACCCTGAAGTTACATGCAGATCCTAACTGCACAGAAAGCACACCATTCTAGTCTGTATCCAAACCTCATCCGAACATCCTAAATTTAAGGGGGAGGGAAGGACTAGCAGATTAAACAGGAGGAAGTATATGAATTTTAAAAGTCAGCATGGAAATACAGAATTCTTGATACTGTATGAAGAATTTCTTTTCAAGATATAGTACTCTCTTTGCTGATGCAATTTCTTATTGTTTCCTCAAACTGGAGAATAAAGAGGAGTTATTTCCTAAAATCACAGTGTTCCGTTCAGTATTCAGAGTTGACCCTTCACCACTAGCTAAAAAAGAGTTGCAGAGACAGGCAGATCTGCCATCTACCCTTTTGTTCTGGCTCTGGTCAGAGGGCCACACAGGGGAACCTGAAGACTACCAACCACCACTAGAATTTGTTACTGGAAGATGCTGTAGAAGAGTAGCATTACAAAAGGGTCACTGATGGAGACTGAACAGATAATGTGAGTGGTACAGGTTGCACTGTGTCAATTTGTGTCTCCCTGCAATTCATTACCGATGAGATGCCAGCAATTGAGATGAAAAGGGCAGGAGCAGACAGCAAACTACTGCTTTAAACACATCTCATTCAACATTCCCAGTTTATTCCTGTTTTCTCTCTGTCTGTATATCTTGCATTACTCCCCAGCAATTCTTCCTTATTTCTGGTCTCAAATCAGTATGCTGTTTTGTGCTATTAAAGCTACTGCAAAACCAGCTGTGGCAGCAAAATAACTCATTAATGCATAAAGTGCTTTGGGAAACCTTTGAAAAGGACAGGACTGAAGAACAAAAAGTATCATCTTTGTCAAGATTAGTGATCCACAATAGCCTCAATATCAAAAAGGCACAAAGTCTAGCCACAAGTGTTTTGGTGAGCCTTAACTTAGACTGCCATCTCCTTAGTCTGCTCCTCCCCACACATAAAGTGATTTCTGCTACTTGTAAATATATAAAAACAGGTTTATTTTCCCAGTCTATGGTCCTCCAAACAAAGGTCTTATTTGGTCTCTCACGAACCTTCCTTTACTGCCCATTCATAGACAGGTTATATTTTTAGGGTTTGTTTAACCCTTGTTTCCCACTATGTGAAGAATTATTAAACACTGGTAACTACTTAGCCCTGGCAGGTGACTGCTCCAGAGAGGGTTGCATCTCCCAGGGAACTAGAACACAGGCTGTCTGGGGAGCTGTTATGCTTTGACCCATTGACTTGTGGCTTGAAAAATCACAGAATCATAGAGTAGTTAGGGTTGGAAAGGACCTTAAGATCATCTAGTTCCAACCGCCCTGCCATGGGCAGGGACACCTCACACTAAACCATGTCACCCAAGGCTCTGTCCAGCCTGGCCTTGAATACCACCATGGATGGAGCATTCACAACTTCCTTGGGCAACCCATTCCAGTGCCTCACCACCCTAACAGGAAAGAATTTCCTCCTTATATCCAATCTAAAGTTCCCCTGTTTAAGTTTTAATCTGTTACCCCTTGTCCTATCACTACAGTCCCTAATGGAAGAGTCCCTCCCCAGCATCCCTATAGGCCCCCTTCAGATACTGGAAGGCTTCTATGAGGTCTCCACGCAGCCTTCTCTTCTCCAGGCTGAACAGCCCCAATTTTCTCAGCCTGTCTTCATATAGGAGGTGCTCTCCAGTGCCCTGATCATCCTTGTGGCCCTCCTCTGGACTTGTTCCAACAGTTCCATGTCCTTCTTATGTTGAGGACACCAGAACTGCACACAATACTCCAAGTGAGATCTTACAAGAGCAGAGTAGAGGGGCAGGATCACCTCCTTTGACCTGCTGGTCACGCTCCTTTTGATGCAGCCCAGGATACGGTTGGCTTTCTGGGCTGCAAGCGCCCACTGAAGCCAGCTCCTGTTAAGCTTCTCATAGACCAACACCCCTAAGGTCTTCTACCCAGAGCTTCTCTGAATCTCTCCTCTGCCCAACCTGTAGGTGTGCCTGGGGTTGCTCCAACCCACGTGTAGGACCTTGCAGGGCCAAACCAAATACACTGCTAATTCATAAGTGCTGGGTTATTCATTGTGTGCTTTAACACACATTGTTTGGGAAATTCAATTCATCCATTAATTTGTTAAATACAATGCTTTGGGTTCTAAAATCCTCTGAAGTCTGCAGTGTCCTTTACCCCTTCATGCTCATTTGCCTTTTTTATTTCCCTTTCAACTTGCCAAAATTAAAAAAAAAAAAAAAAGGCCATTTTGACTCTGTTCCCAGCCAGGCGACCTTGCTTTCAGAGGCTGGCACACCAGCTTCCCCCACTGCAACGGTCAAGTTACAAAAATATAAAGAGAAGATTTGCTTCCTTGTGAATCACTTCCCATTGAGATTTTTCAGTCACAATAATTTCTGTAGCATTTCTGTGCTTTCACAGTGTCAATTTTGCAGAAATACAAGCGCTTCGCCTGCACCTATTTACATGCATTTGACAGCCAGGAGGAGGCTTCTTTTTCCCACAAAGGCAAGTCCAGGCCTCTGCACAGATACCAAATGCCTTCATACTGCTGCAATCATAGGTGTTCCCCAATGGCATTTGGTATTAGTGATGCCCAGCGTTCACCTCCTCTTCTCAAGGCTTTCTTTGCATGAGAATGTCGCTGCAGTGTAATTCAAGGTACAATTTGAAATAGATTAACTGAAACTGGTGCAAAAGGCACTAATTAGCATTGAAACGAAACCTGTTTAGACATCTAATGAGCAAAAATGAAGCATCCTCAAACTGGCAGGAGAGCATCCACAGTTTGAATTTTCACTAGCTTAAATAGATTGTTTTAAAATTGATGATACTTGAAGTGCACACCTTCCTTGCATAGAAAAGGTCTTCTCTGGACTGAGGAAACAGCAGCACTTGTAAAATAAATGACTGCCTGTGCAAGGGTGCAACAGCCATTAATGACTACCACAGAGCATCGGGGAGAAGAGGATGAGGAAAAGGGTCAGTTGCTTGCACACAGCTTGTTAGGAAATACTGTATTCAAACTGACTAGCAATAAGCAGCCAGGAAAAGGCATCCAGAAGTGACAGCCAACTAACTGAAGTTTCAGGGATATTCTGATATACTCAGGATCCTCCCTTGACTGAAACCATAAGGGGGAAAAAAAACCCACCTGTGGGTTTTCTGACATTTTCTGACACTCATACAGCATGCACATTACTTAAGGTTGCAGATCTCTTAGCCAGCAGAGGATGCAGATTAGTTACTGTAAAGTGAACACTGCACAGAGCAAGGAAGCACGTCTTGCAGCACTCCTGCCCTACATCCCTACCATCCGCAGCATCCCACAGAGCCTTGCTAACAAGAAAACCCTCTTGGAAGATGCAGCAGCCTTTGTGGGAGGCTGGGGCCGGAATCCACTCATGTCAAACAGCTCTGTGGACCAGGATGTGACTGCGGCTGGCGAAACATGTTAGCTAATGAAGATTGAGTCAGGCAGGCAGAGATGATCCTCTCAGCCTGTTAATCCACTTAGGGAAGGAGAAGGGAAACCTGAGCTGAATTCCTGTGCCCCCTGCAAGGGACTGTACTGTGCTGGCTTTAGCATCTAAGCAGAGCAAAGTCAGCCATAGCTGCACTGGGGAGAGCTCTGGGCGCAAGACTAGTGCTTTTGGGAGAAAAGAGTAGGAGCAGAGGCAGGGAACAGCAATCCCCAAGAAGAGTGCCAGGGTCGGATGTTGTGTCCGCTGAGAACTAATGGAGCAAATTCAAGTTTACTTGCCTTCTCACCAGAAGAAAGCAAGAAGGGGCTCAATGAGAGCTTTTGCCCAACAGCAGAGCAGGGAGAACACACACACCTTTCATGCTTTTCACAGGGCAAAAAGGCTTCCCGTGAGGTCAACTGGAATTCCTGGGTTAGAAAGTCAGAGCCAGCGTTTACACCTCAAACACCCATTCCACCAGCACTGACAGAGCCAGCACCAGCTCCCGCTCTGTTTAACTGGCAGTTCGCGATCATGATGGATGCCAATCCCAGGAAATGTCAGATTATCCTTAACCACTAGAGGGTGCTCCCCATCTCAAAGACGGAGTCAATGTCACAGATGCACCCAGACAGGTAGAGGAGCAATCATGGAATCTGAGTAAGGGGGAAATTAGAAAATTAATAATAAATAATAATTAACCAATCTGATCCTGAGCCTCACCAATGTTTCCCCATCCCTCCTGGCTGGGCAAGGGAAGGCCCTCTGACCCATTTGTCCTCTGCATCATGCTCAGTCAGGTGATATTTCTCACATTAGTGATTAAATCACTTTTATTCTTTTCGCCTACATTGTGTATCCAGAGCAGCAAATAAACATTTTTCCATTTGCCAGGCCTGTATGTAAAGAGCAAGACTCTGATTTGTCTGCCCCTGAGCACTATTAGGATCACATCCAACTTTTGCCATGCCAAGGCCTGACTTACTCTGCTGCACTGCCACAGGAGCATGGGGGCCACTAGTCCATATGTTCACGTTAATTTTCCCCACTCTGTCCTAACACAGTTTTCCAGAGAGCAGAGTACCTGTTGCGCAGAGATGCCTCAGGATGGTGTTTTCAAAACATCAGTTTTGGAGCACTAACACTACCTGTCAACAAGACACCTGTAGGGAAAGACTGTTCACTTTGTTAATGCAGTGCTCCCACAGCCTCTGTCATCAAAGGGAAGCAAAGGCGTGCAACTGAGGTTGCACACTCAGGAGCTGTGCACCTGGCAACACGCCACCTTGGGCCTCAGCTTCCCGTTTGTATAGGTTAGAAGTAATACCCCAGAGTTGCATCACATGTGAAGAACAAAGCAGTTAGGATTAAATCATAATGATTATATTGCACCCTGAGACTCAGAAAAGAATGAGTTTAAAGCATGCCAAGTAAGATCAGGCGCCTATGCAAAACAGACTAGCTCTGCTGATGTGTCTGGCATAACATCTGTTTGTCCCAGCCCCTGCTTACTTTGATAGTCCAGGTCTGCATATCCCATGGGGAAACCAGCTCTCATTGATGGCTGCCACCCAGCACACGTGCTGCATCTTGCTGTCTGAACAAGAACAGATTGTTGTATTTTTTTTAATTGCTCCTTTCTCTCTCCTTTGGACAGTAGTGCCAGGTCCTGTCCAAGGGGATTTTTGTCAAAGTTCCTGCTCTTGGGTACCCTGGCATCACTTTTTCTTCTGTCCTCTTTAAATCATGCAATACATTTGTCTGAAGAAAATGTTAAATTGAGCAATTAAACCACTGAACAAAAGGACACATACTCTCTTACACAGGTTAAAATGTGTTCGATAGGTTTGGATTACTTAATTTCCAGAATGAACCATTATCTGCAGCAAATGTGGGAGCCAGTGCTTTCCTGGTCATCAACTGGCCAACAGTCATCCTTGAGGGGAGCACCACATTATACTGTCTAAATAGGCCAATTAATACTCTTCATATTTGAGTTTGTGAATGGCGAAGAGAAGGGGAAAATATAAGAGGAAAATATTTTATGGTATGTTTCTTAGACATTTGCAACAGACAATTTTACTTCCTACAAACCCTATGTCAGGGGTATGTGTCACAGCTCCACTTCTTGAGCTATTCATAACATTCTGCCTTGGAATTATAGCAAATACCAGGTATGCTTTGGGAAGGTTAACCAGCATTTGCACCCTCACCATACCAGCACCGTTTTCAACTTTTCAACTTGATGGGTTTTAACACTACTCCATTACCATTACGCTCATTATACATTTATTCCTAAACATGCACATAATCAGTCATCAAAAAAGTGGCTATTTAGAATCAGATATTTTGACCACTACATTTCTGCATACTTTTGCTAGGAGCTTAAACTTTGCCATTCTTCCTCCACCCATTTACAGAAAAGACTTTTAAAGTCATTTCGTAGCCCTAGTGACATTCTCCTCTCTTGCATATTGCTGTATGGGAAAATCACTGTGGCTTTTATTATTTTAATTACTGCTAGCAGGTTGTAAGTTCTCAAATATCCCCAAGTCCTTCATTGTTATGAACAGCAACACCCAAGCACCAATTCTGCTCATGAGGGCAAATTTCAGGGTCAGTTCTGCCTCCTTCACTCACAGCAATCTGCACCTCAGTGGAGGTTACAACTTCTGGAATACGTAATATATAAGATAAGCAGGTTTTGACTACCTGCAATTAGTTGATCTGCAACTACATGAAATGGCAACACTTAATCGAAATGGAGAGGCTGGGACAACACCATCTTACAGCAGATAAATGTGTGAAGCATGACAGGACCCATGAAACAAAGACAAACAAAAAATGGGTATGTTAAACAGGACAGACTACAAATGAAGTCAAGTATTAGGAAATGCAGTTGTGTTTACTTGTGAGAAATACTCTTAGCTCTCATGTACATATGCATTATTTTATAGCCCTTAATTACATGATCATATTTTTTCACAGTACCCCATCTCACACTGCACTTAGAAGGGATTGTTCCCATGTACCAAGCAGCTAGTTGAGATGCTGGTTTCTGTTCATTGTTCAGTGTGTGGCCCCAGGCCTTATTTACTGCATATTATTCAAACCTAACTCTACAGATTTATTAATTTCCTTATGTGTTTTTCTATGGGCTTATCATTACATTGTCCAAGAGCTTCACCAGCCCAAGATCCTTTATTTTTCATACTTCTCTATGAGGGGAGGGGGTATTTTTATTCCCATTTTACAGGTGAATGACCGAAGACTGTATTAAAAGGCATTTGCCAATTCTGGGTGCCCATTCTGAGACACCAGCAGCCTGAGTGATCTGTGCTTGTATAGAACTTTGGGTTCAGTGGATTCCTGTTCATTTGCATCTGTATGCACTCAGTGTTTCTGTAAAGCAGTTCCTCTGGGATCTAAAAGGTCCCCTATAAAATAAGGAACACACAATTAAATAACCACTGGCATAACAGCTGCTTTAAGAACCCTGAAACCTGTTATACAGAAATGATCACAGAAAAAAAGTCAACTGGCAGGTTAGAATGTCACTGCTTCAGCTATAAAAACTTCCCTTTCTCTTCTGCAATCTCCTTGTCTCACTCAGTACACACCTGACAAATGAGGCAGGGGTCCTACAGATGGTCTTTTTCATTGTGCAACTCTGATTTATCTCAGAGCATGTCCATCGTATGCAGTGAATGAGGCAGGGGTCCTGTGGAAGAAACAGCGCACAGTGACATAGCTAAAACATACAGTTGTATAAGACACACAGTTGGCTAGACAGAAGTGCACACAGAGAATAACTGGTCTTTCCCCAGTTTTCAGTTCTTGTATAAGCACCTTTCAAAGTACCCTTTTCACAGAGTTTGTTGTTTATTTTACAGTGAACAAACTCTCTCATGATGTATCACGAGGACACTCTGGTGGATTATCGGAAGAGATGAATTTATCACAGGGACCACTACAACCAAAGTAGTGGAGTAAATGGCTGCAAGGGTAACTTAACCGCCTTTGTAAAGATTAACATGAGGAGCATGAAACACTGGGTGACGTTCAGACACCAGTGACAGCTGAGGAATAACAATACAGAGGCTCTTCCAACAATTCAATCCAAGTCATGCCTCTTGCTCTCTTCTCTCGCAGACCAATACAGCCAGCTTCCTTCTCTTCACTGCCTTTACCTTCTCACCCCAACCTTTTCCTTTGCTCTCATCTAACTCCTCCAGACTCCATTCTTCCACATTCCACAGTCCAGCCTCCTTGTTCAACAGCTGTTTATAACTATTTGCTTCCCTTCTTCACTTTTTTGCCCACCTCCCCTTGACTTGTCTTTCCATTACTGTTTTGTTGCCCCACTTATTGACACTACCTCTGTTATGGCACAGCCCCTTCTGTCCCTGCAGCCTGGCTCCAGAACACAAGCTGATTTAGAGCTTTGCGAAGAGGAATCTTCTTGATTTGTTTTTAAATGGAAGGTGGGCATAATTCAAGAATATGTCATACTTTCTTTTTTTTTTTTTTTTAAGTTGGTTTTGATAAAGATTTCCACAAAACAAGTCTATCAAAGGCATAAAAATATTTACAGCAATGATTAAAGCTTGGCAGTGGTATGAACAACTGGAACTAAACTTCACAGGAAGCACTAGTAAAAAATGATGGTGCTACTACACCATTGTACATGGCAGTGAAAATGAAGACAAAAATTAAAGAAATTGGTTAAGCAAAAAAGCTGCTACTGCCATCTTTTCAAGACTTGCTGTGGTTGGGTACATTAGCATTTGGATGTCAGGCCTTTCAAGGAAAGTGCAGTGCTTGTACTCCTTTGAACACTCTCCTGGTAGCTTATAGATGCCAGTGCTTATCTGATGTATGCACTTGCACCCATCTCAAGTTTGCATCAGCTGGATGCATGATCATATACATCTTAACGTTTCACAGAGTCACAGAAAATAGGGATAGGACCAGGTCAGGTGGTTGGTGCATCACTACATCCCAACAGAGGATCAGCTATAGCAGCATTATTTTTGACAGATTTTTCTTCTAACCTATTCTGAAAATCTTTCAGCACATCTCAAAGTCTGTTCTAATGCTCCCATATCACAGCTAATAGAAGTTTGTAACATCAAACTGAAATCTCCCACATTGCAACCAAAGCCCATTTACTTCCAGTTCTAACAACAGACATAGCAAATGGCTTAACCACTTCCTCCAGGACAAAGCCGCTTACTGTTTGAAGACACATCCCCCAGACCTTGCCTAGTATCTAGATTTCCACACAGAAACATTAACCTGCCTAACAGAAATAAATTAGCACTCCAGTCTCTCTAACTTCATTCATGGGCCTCCAAGTTCAGCAGCTGGAAGGCCACAGATTTTGTATGAACACCTACAACAAGGAACAAAGTTGCAACTAGCAGACTGGCTTGTGATAGATAACAAGCAAACTTCACTTCTAGGGGACTCCAAGGGAGTCAGTAGTAACATGTCACTAATGCCTCACTACAGTTACCAAAAATAAAATCAATAAACAAACATGTGTCAGCCCTTCACTGAGGCAAGTCTCCAGCTGGATTCCATTTTTCACTCTTTCAAGATCTTGAGCTGAAATTTTGGGAAACTTGAGAAAATACCTGTTGATAAATTATGGCTATCATATATTACATTCAGTGTACTACTAGCTAGAGCAGCAAAATTTCTTAGCTGTCCTTGACAAACCTGAGAGTTGTGCCTATGATCCTGACTTCCAGTACTGTACCTTGAGCACCAATTTCTTCTACTGACCTGCAATGAAGACCTGCCAGATTTCATATGAAACAGCTGTCAGGAAACTGGAAGTTCACATCCTTGGTGTAGGTGGGTATGAGTGTGTACAGAATGGCTGGAGTTGTAACTAGAAATGTAACTAGAAATGTTACAGGACTTAATATTATTTCAGTAATACAGATTTGCCTCCAGTGTTACAAACAGTGAGCTTTCAGGGAAGCCAGGGGCCATTCTGTGCAGATAGGAAACAGAGGGCCCTTCTCTACCGTAAGTGTTGTGATGGGAGGAGGTGTACTGGCAGCTCAAAGGCACGTGCAACTGCATGCAACTCTGTACTGTGTATTTGCACAACTGCTGGAGAGCATATCCCTTGGTGATGTTATACACAGGCTTTGGCCAACAGTAAATAAGACAGTGGATTTTGATTCATGAGGGATGACAGGAAATCTATAACATGTGGGTTCTATAATCTGCTCACTACTGCGTAGCAAAATGAAAGAACAACAGTCCAATTACCAAGTCCTTGCTGATCCCAAGATCTTGTTCTGCTCAGAGCAGTTGGATTCTGTTGGCACCAAGGGAAAACAAGCTCTTGCACAGGCTGTCTTCCATACTGGGATAGCAACAGTATTTTGGAAGCACCAGACTTCAACACAGCCGAAATCAGAGATGATCATGAAGATCATGAAGAATCATGAAGGTCAGAGCAAGTTTCTGGATAGCGACAGGCTGCTGAGCTCAGTTTGCCAAAGGACTGCCCATGTGGAAACCGACTGCTGCACTCCACTGCAGATATTATCCAATGTCCCTAACACACCTGGTTGAGCCAGGAAGCAGTGATCCACCACTGCTGTCTGACCCAACCACTTGGATTGGTAGGGACTGTGAACAGCATTCCCCTGTGATAACACAAACAAATCAGGATGGAACTCCACAAAAATGAAAAACAGGGCTGTGATCCAGCAGGACACAGCAGTTGGGTTACAAACAGTGTCCAAAACCACCTTAAGGTGAATGAGTCAAAAGCTGGAAGGAGATGTGGATTCTGGGGCCAGGCAGAGGAGGGATGGGTGAAGATACGATTCAGGTGGAGAGCTGGCCCATGGGGGAGCAGGGGGAAAGTCTGTGACAGCAGCAACCGCAGAGTAGACCGCTTTCATACTGCCAATGCTGAGGACACATAGAGAAGAAGGTTTCTTTTTGACAAAATAGCAATGGTGGCAGCTGGAGAGAGGAGGGCTGCCAGTTCCAGACAGAAGGAAAAGGAAAGAATTTTGCTTCCTACTGTGCAGTGTCAGAAAACCCACAGGGCTGCCCAAGGTAGGGACAGCACAGGACAGCTCAGCTGAGCATCCTGGAAGCTTAGAGGAGACAGTTCTCTCATTTCTCTCTAACCAGATTTACAGTTTTCATTCCTTGTGTCTCTGGCCCTTACCACTTAACACCTTTCAGATCGATTTATCTTCTTCCCCCTAGGAAAGGGGCAAGGGGAGCCTTTCTCTGGCAACAGGTAAACAGTGTGGCAGGGTGGGGAGGGGGGAACAATTTCCGCTCAATCCTTAGCAACTGCTGCCTTTGCTGAACGCACGCTCTGGGGACTGACGTTCTTTCCCTTCTTCCCCCTGCAACTATTCCTGCTGCCACCTCCCCTCCCTTGTTATCTGTCAGTAAACAGTAATTAAAGAAGTGGCCTGCCTGATAGAGCTCCCTCCTGCCCTCACACAGTGCTGCCCTCTCGGACGTGTCTAATTAAAATCCTGATGAGAAGATGAAGAAATCCCAGCAGCTGGAAGTCTGCTGACTCTCCCTGCTCTCGGCCTCTTCATTACTGACGAGGAAGAGAGATATAAAGGACCCCGGGAAAGACCAATCGATACAACCTTTTGTGGAACATGACGGACCACTCAGGACTGCCTTTTGAACTGTGTGGATAATGAGGATGCTGGAACGTGGCTCGCTGCATGGGGCTGATGGGGCTGGACTCCCCCACTAGTCCTGCTACATTGCTGCTCCCAGGAACAGCACCCCGGGCCCCTGCAGCTTGGCAGCCACTCACACTGCACAGTGAATTTATACAATTATGATATCTGGGGCACTTGCCCGTCCCCCACCAACCCAAGCTCCTGAAATCATTGCTTGTAGTGCCAGAATACTGTCAAACCTCTAACTGCTCCATAATTTCTGTGCAAACACAGAGCACGCATGTGTGTACATACACTGCAAAATGCTGAGAACCAACACAAACCTTCCCTAAATGAAACTAACACACGCGATGTGCATACTGCTGTATTTTCATGGACACTCATTCATGGGAACAGTGCATTTTCACTGCTTTCCCAGGATTTTGCGCTAAGGTAAAATTTTTGGTATGCACAAAATGAAACAGCAAAGGTTTACATCATTGTGAATCACCATAACTATATTTAGACACACTTCATTTCATGCAAATACATCCACTAAATATTCCTGTGTTTTTTTCTAATGTGAGATCAGCTTTACATGGAAATAAGACCATTTTCACCAGCAAACTCATATTTATCCAAAGCACCAAAGATGTCATTGCTCTTAGTTTCGAGATGAAATAGAGATGGAAGTAGATCTACTATGCCATCTAAAGTTTGAAAGTGCATCTCAAACACCTGCCTCCATATCCCTTTCGAGCAAGCCCACTGGAGGCACAGTGACCCTGGGATTTAGGATTATGTACAAGAATGGGAGCACATACATGGTTGCAAATACAAGTGCATTCTGTATGTGCATGAGAGAAATGCATGTTCCATGTGTGGAATCAATGAAAGAGTGATCTGCCTGAGCTCACACCTCCTGCTTCACAAACCACTACTGCTCATGCAATCAGTACCAGTCCAGCAACTGTTGGTGCTCTTTTCAGAGTCCCAGCTAGGTCCTTTGTATGCAGTTTATTCAATAAAGACTAAGTTGTCTTCTTTC